CTCGCACAGCTTGTATCATACCAAGGTTTTGGGCCATATCCAACGTTTCATCTTCCATTGCATCACCCATTATTAGTTCTAACTCTAATGATTCGAGATGATCTGCTTCTCTCTGAAAGACTATGGACTATGGACTCGTTCTGAAACCATACAGAGATGGCATGGGTCATGAGCCAAAGCTTCAGGGCAATCAAGTGCAAATGTCGATGCAGAACAATATCCCCGAATCTCGGAACGAGCTGGCATACTAATTCTAACCTATAACGGATAATAATACTAAGATTTCAGCAATATCTATATTAATATAATTATATCATAATTATATAAAAGAATTTTGAGAAATATTGTATATTTAAAAAAAGAATTTCAACTATTTTATCTTTTTACTATTTTTGATTTTTAGTAATAATAAGTAAAAATGATCCACAGGCCTTTTTGGGGACACTCAAAATGTTACGCTGCAGTATATCACCCAAGGTAGGACTGCAAGGACAGCACAGGATCCATGAGGGGGGTAGAAAGAAGGGAAAGACTGACCAGTCCAATATTGAAAATTGCACTCCAAGCGGCTCTCTGCAGCGAGGCGCTTCGGGCAAACTCTCCGAAGAGTCTGGTGTTGGTGTGACCTCAAAGGCGGGCGGTTCAGGTTTTCTTAGGGTTTCGAAGCACGCACTCGCACGCGAATTTTTAGATCGGACATAGGGCTTAGTGGCTGAGGGGGGTCTCAACACTCACGCTAGGCACTGCCAGGCCAGGGGGTTTGGGCTGACGGCTGAGGTTTCCAGAGATTAAGTCTGCGGGTTGTAGGATGTGCCTGCTTACCAGTTCCTAACCACTTTCCTGCGCAGGGTGAGTGGCCATCACATGCCCGAATACAACGATTCATTAGGCATGGCCACTCGGCAGCCTGCGTGCAAGCAGGTTGAAGCTGTTTTTTTCCGGCGACCGGATCGAAATACAACCAAACGGAGGAAAATACAACCACGTGGTGGAAAACACAACTGAACACCATTTTGGGCTAGCCCGAACGGGAGAAATTACAACTGGCTATTGCGGGGCCCTTATGAGTTTGGACATTCTCTCCAGAAAAACCATGGTGCAGCCTTAAGGTTCCAGCACCAAAGCTAGGTAAAAGTGGCTGTGATTTTTCCCCTCTCTTTGCACCCTAGAACGAATGAGGACTTAACATGATTATTTCGGTATGCTTTGGGTCATGTAAGTACGAACGGCATGTAGGCAATACTTGACATGGTTATTTCGGTGTGTATGCTTTTCGTCGTGTAGGTGCGAACGGCATGCAGGCAATACTTAACATGTTTTTTTCGGTTTGTATGCTTGCCGTCGTGTAGATACGAACGGCATGTACGCAATACGTAACATGAGTATTTCGATCTGTATGCTTTCGGTCATGTAAGTACGAACGGCATGCAGGCAATGCTTAACAGTGGTTATTTCGATGTGTATGCTTTCGGTCAGTAAGTACGGACGGCATGTAGGCAATACTTGACGTGATTATTTCGGTGCGTATGCTTTCCGTCGCGTAGGTGCGAACGGCATGTAGGCAATACTTAACATGATTATTTCGGTTTGTATACTTTCCGTCGTGTAGATATGAACGACATGCACGCAATACTTAACATGATTATTTCGATCTGTATGCTTTCGGTCATGTAAGTACGAACGGCATGTAGGCAATGCTAAACAATGATTATTTCGATTTGTATGCCTTCGGTCAGTAGGTACCAACGGCATGTAGGCAATACTTAGCATGATTATGTCGGTTTGTATGCTTTCAGCCGTGTAGGCCGAGGTTACAGCGAAGTTGTCAGGGAGTTTTTTTGCATGCCACTTCCAACAATCCCACTCCCCAACTACTCAACAATACCCATAGACCCTTGGACCAAAGGCCCTACATGGTTGTATTGTCACCCATCTGGTTGTGTTTTCACCCATCTAAACCAATTTCTGGAGACTTGAGCTGCATGTTTTTACCCATGGGGTTGTATCTACACCCATCTTGTTGTAATTCGCTCTAATCTCTTCTTTGCCGCCAAGGCGTAACATGCCCTAGACTCTGACACCATCATCCCTAAGCCCTAAGTAAGTTCAACCCTGAAATGATGAGGGCAGGTAAGGATGTACCCTAAACCCTAAGGCCCTAAACCCTAAACTCTAAACCCGAAGCCCTACACCCTAAACGCTATACTGCAAACTGAGATCCGGGCCACGTGGACTGGGAAGTCGAGAGAGGTTCCCGGCGCTGCGGCTTCGCAACTTTGGCCGGAAAGTGCACTCCTCCGAAGCATTCCGAAGCGCAAGTCCGCCAGACGGGGGACTTAGGGGTTTTGGGGCGTAGTATATTTTTAAGGGCAAGCTAAGGAATAACTGCTGAAGTGTTACATCAGGCTTCCATAGTACACAGGTGCTTGAGGTTCCTACTCTAATGTTTTAATGGCTGACAAGATTCTCAGGATTCAAGTGTTTAGGGTTTGGGGCTGAGTGGCTCCTTCTCGAGAGATCTTCGGAAGGCAGTGACCCATAAGTATGAAGACTTTTGGGTTTGAGGTCTCTGTACTCTAAGATCCCCTTCTCGGGAATTCCCATACCCCGGGCATGCCTCGACCCTGAACCCTGGGCTCCTACTGAAAAAGCCCTTGGGGTTTTGAGCTTCAGGCTTCGGAGGCTCTTGCGTCCGTAGGGCTTTTCGGCGAGTCAACCTTTGAAACATCTTCTGCTCCTGAAGAATTCAGGGTCTTGCGTGTTGCTCCAGTCCCCATGCCCTGCAAGGTAGGACTGACTGCAATGAGCAGGTCCAGCAAAGCCAGCCCAGGGCCTGCAGGCCTGTGGTGCTTCTCCAAGCTTCCTGTAGGGTGCCTCGGGCTTCCCTCGTCGGAACAGTTCGTAACAGGATTCCTTAGGGCACGACTCGCCGGTAGTCAGGAATCTCGAGGCCCCAGTGCCCAAATGCTATGGCCCAGATGGGAAGTGCGGGCACGCCACGTCGACAGGAAGTTCCGCGAGAGCGACGAGTTCAGAGGGACTTTCCGGAGGAGAAGATCCAGTCCTTGCCAAGATCCTTCAGAAGTTCTTCGACAACGCGAAGGACGGCTACAAGAAGGATGCCGACCAAAGGACTCCCGACTACGAGACGCTGAAGAACAAAGCGGCTGTGGTCTCGTACGACATCAACCTGAAGCGACGCGATGTGGAGATAGACAGCGACACCGACGGCAACAGGATGTCCAGCAGGGCTCGCGTGGAAGAGGCCGAGGGCAAGGACACCGCGGATGGTCGCTGGAAGAGACAGCACGCGCCATGTCGAGACTCCGCCGAAACGAGCGTCCTAGATCATAGTCCAAATACTGTTTTTGTTTACACGGGCTTTCCGATGCATATCATCGTGCTGTGACTGCAGGACAGGACCTCCTTGGCGTGACTGCCTGAGGCTGGAACACTGCACTGCATCAGTGGAACTGATGTCCTGCACCCTTTAACCTTAAACCTAGTAAAGCCTATGAAGGAACCTCTGCCCATTTTGGGTAATAATACCACCTCAGGGAATATAGACGGGGTAATTGGTTATTCCCATGCTTGTACTGATAATGGGGAAGTAGTAGTGATATAGTTGGTGATCTGTAGGGGGGAGTTTGGGAATAATCTTCTAATGGGTTGACTGGTGGCATTGTTACCCAAAATGGGCACGGGTTCCGCCACCGCCCAGTCAGGTGGCACGAGCAATGCCTGCAGAATGTACAGTTTTGGGAGACACAGAACAGAATATCATTCCTTAGGGTTGCCTAGTACAGCTGTAGTGTAAGGCCCCAAACCCCTATTCAAATCGCTATAGGGCCCCTATAGTAGATGCTGAGACCAGACCCCGCGCCCCTTCGCACCTGTAACTCCTGCTCTTCTGCCATAAGCCGACGCCTTTAGGTGTCAGAACAGGCTGGGCTGCGAGAGCGTGGCTGATTGGAATCCGTTACTTCTCCAAGGGTTTCCAGCATCAGTGGGTTCGAGGGAATGACCTTTTTGCGCTAGAATGGCCGAATCATTCACGACCGTCGCGGCCTTCCGAACTCACATTACCTTAGCTCTGAATTCACTGAAATGGTTTGCATGGGAACCCAACATTCAATAATCGGCCGTGCACACTTCACACGTCTAGCTAGCCCTGAGGGCAGATAGCACTGAGAACAAACAACAGGCAACTTGCAGGCTGATCTAGACCCAGAAAGCCCAATACCCCTTAAATAAGGAATATACTTTAAATTATAAGGGCCTTAATATTATGATTTCAGGTATATTCCTTAATAAAGTAAGGGGTATTGGGCTCTCTGGGGAAGCTAGACATGGAAGGACAAATCATGAACCCTAAACCCTAGACCCTCTAACTAGAACGACCTGTCGTATGCATAAGCCTTAGGCGATCTGCAGTTCAAAGTGTAATCACTACCCCAGCAAGACGCATTAGGGTCAGCATCAACATTGCCATGACAACAGTATCTAGGAGAGTGCGCGACGACAAGTAGCACATGACCTGTGCAGGCATACCAGAAATACACTTGTACTGGCACAATCAGAGTGTACAACAATGCATCATGCTTTGGCACAGCAAACCCCGGAACATCGTAAACGTCGTAAGCTAACAAGCAAAACGTAAAGTACCGGGAGGGGGGGGGGGGTCCAAGGCTCTAACATGGGCTCAATCATGAGAAGCGGACTTTGGAGTACATTCCAGTGTTCTTATACTAAAGAGCCCTAAGGAAGAATGTTACTTCGATCTTTGGACGCCTTAATTCGGATATCAGTGTCGTGGGCCTAAGGATTGAGGGTTTGGGGTTGGGAAGGAAAGCAGCAGAAAACAAAGGATCACTGCCAGATAACCCTAAACCCTGAATCCTCTCTCTCTCTCTCTCTCTCTCTCTCTTTCGGAAGCCCTAAACCCTAAAACCACTAAAACACATAACGTAGTCCCTGAACAGAAGAAGAGCCGAAGGCGGCTCCCAGGCAAGGGGGGTAGACAACCACCTACCCCGAAAAACATCCCAAGCTTCAAAGAAAGCCGACTGTGATGGGTGCCTGTGGCCTAAACCCTAAACCTTATAATATAAGCCCCAAGACCCCTAAACCCCAAGACCCTAAACCCTAAACCTTATAAGCCCCAAGACCTTAACCCTAAACTGAGGCGACGACTCCTCCATGCGCGCATCTCTGATGTCGCGCTCGCCTCATCCGAGGTTGAGGGGCTTAGGGTTTAGGGTTTAGGGGTTTAGGGTTTAGGGGTTTAGGGCTTAAGGGGTTTAGGGTTTAAGGGGTTTAGGGGCTTAGGGTTTAAGGGTTTAGGGTTTAGGGGTTTAGGGTTTATGTCGGGGCCACCGTATTGCGGAAGCGCTTAAGTTTTACACCTTCCCCAGCAGGGGCTTGTTGTAATTCATTCTACATCCAGTAAACCGACCGGAAAGGTTCCGCAAGATTCCAGATGACCATCACCACAACCAGATCTGATTTTTGAGGACTGTACACCAGACTGCACTTGCACGTGGACTATGATTATATTACGGAACAACAAAGAATAGTCTTGGCCCCTATATTAAACTATATTAACTAAGCACCAAAGGGTCGATCTGAATGCTCCCATCCTCCTGTTGCATGGATGGTCATAGCGGAGCTCATCATTTCATGACAAAGGCTGCAGAAGTTCGAACCTGCTTTAGAAGCGAAACCTCATAATTAGACTAGGGATTTTGGAGTTCATTGTAGGAATTTTGGGGCATCAGCATATGGAGCCGGAAGGAGCTATGCTATTGTCATGTGTTTCCCTAAACGCTAAACCCTAAAATCCTAAACCCTAGCAGGGTTCGGACCCCAGGCCTCGTTGTCTTCCTTGAGAAGACAAAGTTGTGCGACACGCGCCTCCTCCCAACTAAACCCGAAGGTCCTGAAGTCGCGACTTTGTTGAATAATGGCTATAATGGCGATGCTGCTAGTCATCATAAGTACCGATAACACGCACAACATGTACTACACCATTTCGTTTGAGCAATGCCAATCAATCCGGAAATCCAGGTTGATCTGCACATCTGAGATCGGCGACGGTGGAGTTGCTCGTAAACTGGCACCTCGGCTTTGGAAGGGGCTGCATGGTTTGGAGCATGGGGTGGCACAAATGGGTTCTGCAGTTCTTACTGGTTCAACAGGGTCGAGGTTCGGGATTCTATGTCTCGGGCCCACTGAGCCATGACAACTTGCGCATGTTAGAAAGATGGCGGTATGTAGCTGGAACGGCATATCAAGGTTTCCGGGTATGGGGCCTATAGCGACCGTGGACTTCTTGACTTGGTACCCTTCTCGATGGGGGCTTGTCAATCTTGCACAAGCCCCATGAGCCTCTGGCCTATCTTTCCGATTCTATCAGAAAACCTTGAGCCGCGAACAAGGGCTCGTTTTTGAAGCTGGGCTCTGAATGTCAGCCACCCTAAACCCAAACGGCTCCGAATCCCTAGACCCTAGGCCCCAAGCCTTAACACCACAAACCAAAAAGAAAGCTTGTCAGCGTGAATTCCCAAATCTCCGATGTTGAAGGCTCAGGAATTTTGTACCTATGCATTCTACAATGAGAATAATACTTCCAACAAAGTATTTGTTCGAAGTCCTGTACGACTTTAGGTCACGTTGCATGCTTGGTTTGATTGTAACTCATACTACAGCCCTAAGTAGATGCAGCTGGCGATGGCTCGCCCTGTCGTATTTGTCTGACCGACCGCTGTTGAAAAACTGTGGCTGCGGCTCCGACAAGAGAAACCAGAGTACTCTTTGCTGAGTTGCATAAAGACCTCCCTGCTGACCCAAATCAAACCTGGTGTTGACGCCGACACTGACCAACATGTCTCTTGCACCAGGGAAATTTACAAGAGTAGGAATTACCCTGCAAATGCGAGCGGAATGCAAGAACGATAGTTTAGATCATAATTAGTGGAGATACTCAGGACCTCAACCGAACATCAGCAACTAACAAGCAAAAGCAGCGCAACTGTACTGTGTTTTGTCTGTTCCCATGTAATTAAACTATTAAACGACTAGCCATGGCACGCTGCGGGATCTATGTCGGGCAGCAAGACGATGGCCTCGTGACTGTGTAACTACAAGGCTTTGAGAAAGGGGGTTTAGGGTTTAGGGTTTTGCATCAAGTCTTTGTGTGACTTCCCACGGTTCTATCTGGCCATGCCTCTCCTCTAGTCCTTTTGTCTTCTATTAATGAAATCCTGCCATATGAATCTTACCCAATCCATACATGTGCATGTATATAAGTTTAAACGCTCAAGTATGTGTGTATGTACATGTACATGTAAATGTAAATGTAAATGTATGTGTGTAGTGTGCAATGTGTAATGATTATAACGTATACTGTACTGAGTATACTCTATGCTGTAAAATGCATATGTATACGTGTCTGTATGTCTGTATCTGCATACATGAAATAAATAGAAGGAAAACAAACAGAGCATACATACATACATACATACATACATACATATGTACATGTTCATACATGTTTGTGTGCATCCATGCATAAATCTACTGCTGTTGTAGCACGAAAGCAACATTCTCAGGTAAGGGTTTGTTGTTCGGACTGTGGGATCACGAGATGCAACATGTCAAAGACTGCGTGCGGGGTTTGTTTATCGATAAGTTTGTGTGCTGTACATTGGGAAACCCCAAACCCTAAACCCTTACCTCCGAAACAAAAAATTAAAACAAAACTTCTGTCCACGCCCATGCTTTTAATTTCCAGGCTGGAAGTCATGCCAGATTTCACAAGTTTGTTTTTTCCTCAGGATTTGGAGTGGGCTGCACCTTTTGCGGGAGGCCTTCAGCTGCGATCTGAACCCGGGCATGCAATTCCAAGAGGTTGCCGTCGCACTTGGGACACCAGGCTGGCTTTTTAGGCTCGTTGTTTCGGATCTAGAGTCTAGAGTATAAGGGCTAGGTTCGGGCTGACAGCATCCAATATGCCGTCATGGTCGTAGTGGGTTTTACAATGTCACTCCAAAGATAACCGCATCGGAACACGTCAATCGAATCGGGACTGGTGTGCGGTCCGGGAGGGAGAGCTTGCTTCGGCAACGAGACAAGTTCGCAGCACGACCAATGGGCACCACAACATGCACGATGAACTGTTCAGGTGTGGGATGCGGTTATACGGAGCATATAACAAATATGTATTATACGCTGCAGATTTTTAACGTTTCGCTGCGACACATACATCTATTGCGATTTCAACACTGCCTATTTTGACCTCTGTCTGAGACAACGCCCAAAAACATGCCCGAAGAGGGACTTAGTTTAACCTTAAAGCCTTTATTAATCTAAGGTTTCGCAATAAGTAGTTGCCGGCTGCATTTCTTATGGTACTTTTTTGGTCTTAAGTATCTTAAAATGGTGCG